AAAACTGATGAATCTCTCATACCCCAAATGCTTAGCACCAGAAATGCCTTGGAGTTTGGATTTTTTTTTTTTTATTTTAAAATATCTTCATGTACGAGCTATGTGATGTCTTGGGGATGGGACCTAAGATTAAACATGAAATACACCTATATGTCTTTATACTTTCTATACACATAGTCTGAGGGTGAACTTGTACAATACTTTTAGCGTTGCCATATTTCAGCTGTGACCTGTCACACGAGGTTAGGCGAGGAATTTCTCGCTTGTCAACACTCAAAAAGTGTCAGGCTGCGGAGTATTTGGAATTTGGTATTTTTAGGTCGGGTGCTGGAGCTGTCACTGACCTGTGGACCTGCCAGCCAGGATAACAAAATAGCAGTGGGAAATGCCCATTAGAACACCATTTGCCTTCAGGTTATAATGCGCTATCTTAGGAATGCTGTCGATGGGGTTGGTACCAAGTAGATTCTGCAGAGTTACAAATATTTATTTTATCTGAGAGAACAAGCTCCATTAGCATCAGACAGGGCACGTGACAAAAGCCAGGAGCCAGCCTGACTGATTAGGTCAGGGCCAATTTTCTCCCGAGCCCTCCTGTTCTGGATCTAGAAATGTCGGCTTTAAACTTCAAACTCTTCTTGGTGCCTGCTCTTGCTTTCACTTCTGCAAACCAAAGATCTCTATGATGACCAAATTTAAACTTTCCTGGGACAATCACAATAATTTTCCATACTTTTTCCATGATTCAGAATTCAGAAAAGCATACGTTTTCAAAGAAATACAACATTGGGAAACCTGCCCAGGACTCTGCAGGGCTTACATGAGGTAGTCTGAACCATTTTACCCCCTGCCCTGCAGGACACTACCCCACTGTCCCCATAGGCATGCATTCAAATGCTCTGCTGAAAGATAGGATTAGTCAATGTGCCCCTGCATGCTCAAATGTGAATTAACTTTTCTCTCCTGTTTCTCTTATATTGATCTGTATGTCTACTCTCTAGCTTCCTGTGAGCTTGTGTATAAACTGGAGAAGGAACTCTGTGTCCCATCCCTGCCATTTATTGGCATGTACAAGCCCACCTACCCCCATTACCTATTTGTCAACTGCCTCACTTATAAATAAAAGCAAGCCATATCGGCATGCAGACACACAATCATATCGATGCATTGAAACAAAATTCCACCCCCAAATGTAAGTTCTCCATCCTTTCTGGAATAACATATGATCCTGTTTTCAGTCTTTTTTAACAAAGATGAGTGATTTCCCAAGGCTCCCATGTCTTAATGTGCATGTTTAATAATTTATAGCTAATTGTCTACGGAGCACATTGCTTCTTCTGTCTCTCTGTCCTCCTCCCTAGAAGCTCGAGCTTCAATCTATAATTAAAGGGCAGACTCCACTTCACTTTATAGTGTAAATGGTGCGCTGGGTCACATTTCCTCTTCCAGCGGCTTCTTCATCCTACAAAACAAGTCTCTTCCAGGATCCGTCTCCAAATAACAGCCCGGCTCTTCAAAACCTCTGCCTCTTTAATTGTGTTACTATGGATTTTTTTATTAGCACAAAAGCCCCTGGAAGCCCCTGTCTAAAGGTCATTTTGCTAATAGGATTTGCCTTTTTTTTTTCTGGAATCCACCCTAACCACTATCAGCTCAGCTCTTGGTCACACTGCCCAAGGTTGCCTCTCAGTAGTAACTGCCCTCAAGTCCAGTGCAGCCCTGCAACTGTAATATACAAATCTGTAAACATATATTATCATCCTGACCTTCGATATGGCCCATACTGCCAGGAACAGAAATCTCTTCTTTTCCTCCATAGCATGTCCACGAAGCACACTGGAGAGTTAGGTATTTCTCATCTACTTAAGTTCATACATAAAACTTACAAGCATCTTTTAAGTACTAAAGAATCTAATGTCTCATGCACCATAAACACTGACATTTTAAAATTAGGCTGTGTTGTACCCAAGGGAGCCTAAGCAGCTTCAGCTGCCCCATCTTTTGCCTAAACACTAGGGGTGTTTCATTCTTTTCTTTTTTATTGAGACAGCATTTCATGTGTCCTAGGTTGGCCTGGAACTCTGCATTCCATAGCCCAGGATAACTGTGAACGTCTGATCTCCTTGCCTTCACTTCCCAAGTGCTGAGATCACTGGCCTAGGCCATTTACATCTGCTAGGGAGAGTTCTTCTTTCAATGGAGACCTCTCAAGTCTTCCCTTCCTGTGAGCTTCCTCAGAGCTACTTCTCCGTCATCATTTTCTCTTGATGCATTTAATGTTTAAATATATTTTGTTTATCACATTACCTCTCTATAATAAAAATACATATGGATTCTTTTGGTGTGTGTATGGGTGTTTCAAGACATGGAACTCGGGACCTCATACATCCTGGGCAAATCGCTCTACCACAGAGCTATATCTATGGCCTTTAATTACTTTTTAAATTTCCTGGGATAACCATAAATCTCTACATATTATATTTTAATTATGTATTAGTATTCTAGTTATAATTCACATCATGGTGAAAGTAGAAAAATGTTAAGTGCTAACCATGAAAGTGTGCACGTTATTAAATATGGTTAGTTGGGTATCTGTGGCTGGTCTACCTTCTCTCAGAAGAGTAAGAACGTGTACCACACAATTCTAAGTCTGGCCTCCACCTTTTAGATTGTTCCCATGGTCAATCGGAAGGATGTGTGCAACAGGCATGGCTTAACGCTTTGGACTCTAGTGTAATGTTTTATGACCCATAGTCTGACAAATCATTCAGGTTTGGCTTTAATTTGGACAGAGACAATGAGTGTAAATACACCAGTCCTCATAGCAACCTGCCTTCAGAGTTTCCTCTCGCTGTAACATTTACAGGCGTGTAGTAAACAGCTTCACAAGAAGCGCTGGAGGACTGTTACTTCCATGTCAAACTCTTCCACTTATAGGAACTTTGCCAAGTCTAACATACTCGGAAAGAGTTAGGAAAGCTATCTTAATGATAGAATTGTTTATAAAGTGATTTTTATCTGTCACTTCCCCCATACACACACACACACACACACACACACACACACACTAGACATACATGTATATATACTAAATATATATACACACTCTTTAGATGAGATACATATGAGACTACACATACACACACACGCACGCACACACACACACACACTTATTTGTCAAACCTCAAGCTCAGAGATTTACAATTCTGTTCACAGAAACATCACCATCATACACCAACTTGGCAAGACCAGTCCACTGTGATATCAATTAACTGAATCAGACTTCTCATGCCAGTTCAAATAAACCTTCTATGAGTCCTTATGGACACAATTTCTCTTCTGACGCAGACTTCAACACAGAGTACCACCTGTATTTCCAAGTATTCTTCACGGAAATAGGAGCCCTTCTCTATTATTGAAATAGGAAAGCGGCGGGGCTGCGTCCCCAACACCCCGGCCGCTTGGCTAGCTCATGCCCGAAATAACAACACACAAACTGCATTCATTTAAGAACTGCTTGGCCCATGAACTCTAACCCTTACAGGCTAATTCTCGCACCTGAACTAGCCCATTTCTAATGATGTGTGTAAGCACCCCAAGGTGCGCTTACCGGGAAGATTCTAGCCTCCGTCCATCATGGTGTCTCTGCTCCAGAGAGCAGAGCTGTTGAGTCTCTGGGAGCAGAGCAGAGTCTGACCCCACTTCCTCTTCCGCCCAGAATTTTATTCTGTTTACTCCTCCCATCTATGTTCTAAGCTGAGGCCAAGCAGTTGGTTTATTATAACTTAACCAATGAAATCAACAGATTGATATATGACACTCCCACATCACTCTATGACTACGATGCCTTAATTGGCAAAGGTATCGCAACACCAACACGTCAAACTGTCCTTTGCAGGGTCTCAGATGTGTACTGCTGGGATGCGGTCAGATCCCAATGCGTGAGCATTCCTCATCCAAACAAGAAGTAAAGGAAAGGTGAGAAGAGATCCAGTGTGGGGCTTTTACCAAAAGTATGCTCTTGGGCAGATCTTCAAGGAAGTGTCCAGCACCAGCAGAGGTCTCACAAGCCATTCTTTAGGAACAATGGTGCCCATCACTCACTGGAAGGCTCCATTCCCTGAAAACCTTGGTTCCTGGGCCCCCATCAGAAAGCTTTTACCTACCCATAGTAACACATATAAAAGAAATCAGCCACCGTTACTAAGAAGACATTGTGGCTTCATGGCACTGTCTGGTGCTTGATGGGCCAAACCTTTTTGTTTGTTTGTTTTGTTTTGTTTTTCGAGATAGGGTTTTTCTGTGTAGCTTTGGTGTCTGTCCTGGAAATAGCTCTGTAGACCAGGCTGGCCTCAAACTCAGAGATCTGCCTGCCTCTGCCTCCCGAGTGCTAGAATTATTAAAGGCGTGTGCCACCACAGCCTAGCTAGGACCAAACCTTTTTTCAAGGGCCACAGATCTAAACAAGGTCTTCCTCACACAAAAATCACTAGACCTCTTATCAAGGAACTCAGCAATTTCTAGGCCACCCAAGTCCATCTCTGTAACTTGGAAGGAAACAAAAGACGATAGGAACGGGCAGGAAGCCCTGCCACCAGCCCAGCCTCCTCAGTCTTTCTTCCAGCACCTGAGTTTCATAACACAAATTAGGCATGAAGTGGAGCAGGGATGATGACATCAGGGCAGCAGCCTCACAATGACCCCTGCCATCGAAAAGCACAGGGGGTTTAGATTATTTGCAAATAAAAAATGGAAGTGTCCTTTACCCCTGATAATACTCACAGCCTCAGTGCAAAGATGCAACTAAACCCTGGGCAGGTCCCATATGAACCACCTAAAAGTAGCCTTAACCAGCAGAAGGGTACAGGGGTCAAGCTGAACGTAGTGTGGGGCTCTCAATGCATGGGATTTCGAAGGGGGAGATGTCTGGTTTAGCTGATGTATGCAGAGAGATGCTTCACTGTTTGTGGTCATTATTTCCCGGTGCCCATCAGACTCACCGCCTCCGTGTGGACAGGGTGCACCGCGAAGAGCAGGGCGGTGACAAAAGCCAGCCCGCGGTTCTTGAAGACGGTCTTATCGCAGGTGTACATCAGCACGAGGGTCACCAGGCAGTGCAGAATGACATTCACCGCATGGAAGTAGAAAGGGTCCATGCCAGTCAGAAATATGTTTAGCCTGTGGAAATGGTAAAAATTAAAAACAGAGAAGTCTGCACAAGCCTTAATCACAATATAAGCACAAGAGATCCACCCCGCATTTAAGAAGGCAAGTTATTTGATAATAGCTTCCAGCGACTCTCAGCACTTTATGCTGTGGACGGTCCAGCTTTTTCTGACCTCAGAACTGACTCAGATCTCAGAACTCCAGAAATCAGTGCAGAGAGAGGGCATCGCTATTCAGGGAAGTTGGACGTCTCACAGAAGGCAAACAGATAGGCATCAACTCCATGACCTACGAAAGTCCTCCCTCCTTATTATTCTTGTGTTTACTTCTGGTGCAGGGGAGGTGACCCAGGTGCTGGTGTCAGAGCCCCGGCCACTGGAGATGAACAGAAACCAGGAGACCGCAACTGTGTCTCAGCCAGGACGAACCAGGCATGAACAGATGCTCTCGGCCATGGTACCAGCGGGAACAGTGTTTCCGGATTCTCCATCTGGAAACTGAGTCTCATTGCCACCCCCCACAGGGCTCCCTAGCAATGCCTGCTACTCCCAGACAACACTGAACAAGCTCAACCCGAGGGTTCAGTATTTGTCGTGTTTTTCTTCACGTTTAATTATTTACTTTGTGCGTACATGTCTGGGGGAGGGGAATGGAGCGGGCAGGTGCGTGTGTTCACCCATGTGTGCCACTGTGAACACGCGGAGTTGAGAGGACACTCATGGGAGTCTTTCTCACCCAAAGAGAGAAGAAAGTTCTCTCTTTGCACCACGTAGGCCTCCAGGATCAAACTCAGGTCATCAGCCCTGGCAGCAAGCCTTTATCCACTGAGCCATCTGGATGGCCAGGGTTTGTTTTCTTTAACACAAGCTCCCACTGATCTGAGAATCTAATTGTTAACACCATGAAAAGCCAACTAAAAGGGAACCACAAACAGAAGGGAAATCGGGTGCTCAACGTCATAAAAAACACCTTCATGGCACCAAAACACAGAGCGGATACATCTAGAGGTCGCTTTTAATAACAGGATATAAAGTCCGCAGCTAGGTCTGTAGAGCAGGCGTTCTCAGTCTCCCTAATGCTGTGATCCCTTAACAGTTCCTCATGTGGCGGTGACCCCCAGCCACAAAATCATCTTCATTGCTTCTTCAAAACTGTAACTTTGCTACTGTTGTGAGCTATAATGTCAACATCTGTGTTTTCGGATGGCCTCAGGTAACCCCCGTGAAACAGTCATTTAATCAATGGGGTCGCAACCCACAGGTTGAAAACTACTGGTGTAGAAGGAAAAATATTTCCCAAACAAAACCTCTTGCTGGGCGTGGAGGCATAAACTGGTGACCCCAGCCCTAGAATGGCTGTGGGAAGAGGTGTGGATCTGAGACCAGTGTGGGCTACAGAGCAAAGCCCTTCTCAAAAATCCAAACCAAAGTACTCTTATCCAGGGTGTCTTCGGGGCAGTGTGCACACAGTAAGTAGTTTGATGATCCACATCATCTGTCCTCTAGTTCATGACACCAAAACAGCAATCCTAGGTCTTTATCCTAGGGCTACTGACCCCCCCACACCCCACCCCACAAAACCACCCTTTGCCTAAACAACCAATCAAGAATGGACAAGTCACCCGTAGCGATGACATATGTGGGTTCTGAATAGCTGGCTTGGTTCATGCACAGCTTGGGTCTTCAAAACTCTAAACATCCCAAGTTTCATTTGGCCATGTGAATCTAAACAGCAGCTACAGATTGTGGTGGTTTGAGAAATGATCCTCCCACAGGCTCCTGTATTTGAACACCTGGTCCCCAGTTGGAGGCGCTGTTTAAGGAGGTCATGGTCAGGAGGCGAAGTCTTGCTAGAGGAAGGTACTCAAGTGGAGAAGGATTTGAAGGTCTGTAGCCTCCCTTCACTTCCTGTTCTCTACTCTGCTTCCTGTATGAAGATGCAAATGTGATCGGCCGGCTCCCTGTTCCAGTCAGCTTGCTTCTGTGTTTCCCCCACCACTCTAGACAGCATCCCTCTGGAACTGCAAGCCCAAATAAACTCTTTCTCCTTCAGCAAGGGGAGATGGGATTTCCAGAACAAATGGGCTAGCAAGACTGGCTATAGGGATGAGCTCTAAGTCTAGGGAGCAGAGGGATCCCTGGATGGATGTGCATTTTGACACTGGTATGGCCAAGGCCAAGGCCTCCAATGCCTCAGCCCCATGGAAATGGCAAAGCCTTACCCAGCTGATGTTCACCTACAGAGACTTCTCCTATTCTGTATCTAATAAGCATATGGAAGGTTTGGGTGGCCAGGGGTGGTAGGTGACTTCCATCCAAGTGAGTCCCCCTCTGATCCCAGCTTTCCTGTACCCACGTCTGTATGTCTGTCCTTTCTTCATTCCCTCACTGCTCATACTCAGGGTCCCAGGACTGCAGCAGTGCAGGACATGGTATCCAGGTTTGACTGAGACAGGGTCTTAATCAATAATGCAGAAGAATGAACTAAGGGTGATCGATTCCTGGCATCAATCTTGAACTTGCACTAACATATTTATACACACACAAAAAAAACCCTCATAATATTATTTATAAAATAACAAACAAGATCTAGAAATCATATTTCTATGATGTGAGTTTGAGACAAAACACTAGCAAAATTTTCAAACAGAACCTCTGTGTGAGCAGAGAACACAGTCCCTGGTTCTGGAAGCCGATACAGGTGCCAGAAGAAAGGGTTAACTGATTAAGTTCCATAATTTAATAGAAGAGGAGCTGTGATCGATGCTCTGCATCTATGTCTTAACAGAGACATTCATCAAAATATCCTGAAGTCTGCCTGCATACATGGCAGCCCAGGGTGGATTTGCAGCCAACGCGGAGACTAATACATCAGTGTCCTCTAGGACTGATGCCTGTCACAGAACCCTAGTGTCATCTCTGATCTGCCCAATGTCATTGCCAGCAGCTCGGTGAAACTACAGAATCCACACTCGCGCACTGTTTGTGCTGAGAAGGGGAAGGGTCCACTGGAGACTCCCTGAGATTCACGTGCAAAGTGACCACAGGTGTTCATGTCAACACTATGGCCGGGGCTGAAACACAACGGGCACCAAGAGGAACAAAACGTGCGCAGCCAGACCAGAACTGTGCATATACTATGGCCCAGAGGGAGTTGTTACCCTGACCTGAGAAAGTTAACGTTTTCCAGCCGCTAAAGCAGGACAAATCACAGACAGAGAGAAAAAGAGCCACAGAACTCAACAGTTTGTCATTCCAGTTCATTCAACAAGATTTGCTAGGTGCTAACCACAGGAGGCAGGGACAAAGAGACAAAGAGAAGATATGGTGTTTACTCTTTTCTTTCTTGGTTTTTGTTTTTTATGATGGCACAGGAGATTGTTTTTTATAAAAAGACAGAATGACTACTATTTAAAAAACAAGGAGGTATCACCATGCAACTACAATGTAAAGTACTATACACCAAAGAACAGAAGCCCTGTTCCTCAGGGACTCAGTCAGCTGACACCTCCAGCAGCTGAGATTTCAACCTTCAGAGGAAAAGAACCAAGAAGGCCTCAGCTCACAGCACTGAGGTGTGATAGCCTGTCTGGGTCATCAACTCGATGGGATTTAGAGTCACTTAGGGGGCATAGCTCTGGGCCTGTTACAGCACCATTTCCTGAAGGGGTTGAGGGGTCCTCTAAAAGAGAGACCTAGACACAAAGAGATCCAGAGAGAAGGCCGCAGGAGTCTGCCTGCTGCTGTTTTTTCCCCCAAGTGAGCCCTTGGCTGGCCTCATAGCTTCTTTTGCTTTCCAATGAGGATTCAGCCTGAGCAGCTCCTCAGGCACCCTCCAGACCTCATCACAGTGGGACTGCCTAGGCATCTCGCTTCAGGGACTGAACAGCTGCAAGGCTTTCAGCTTCTCCAATTTGCAGGTGGCCCTTGTTACCCAGCCTCCACCTGTAACCCAACCTAACAACCTTATGCTAAGCACACATCCTATGGGTTCAGTACTGCTAGGAAACGCCGATGCAGCTGGTAAAAATTTAAAATAATACATGTGCTGGATGACCAAACTGTCCACAGGAGCATAGTGACAGTCCCTTGACACCATCTAACCAGAACAGTGTCTCAGGTTCCAGGTCACCCAGACAGAACCTCCAGGAGGCCCTTGTTAGCAACTGTCTTCGGGAGTTACGAGCAATTTTTCAGAGATTTAAGAAGCTAATTTTTCTCCATCACTGAAATCCATTGCATTCAGCACACAATAGATTCTAAAAGAAGTCTGTTGAATAAACAAATGAATCTCAATTACCCTGGGAGTCAGAAACACCCAGCTTTCCCTTTCAGCTCTAAGAACCCTACATTTTATTTGGTTTAGACTTCATTTCTCATTTAAAACTCGGCCGAGCAGTAGGAAATATATTTTCTTCCAAAATAATCTTTCCAGGAATCTCTGGTCATCAGTTTAATGGACTCCCCCTTGCTCTTTGGAACGGGTGGTCTTCCTACACAGACATGGGTCTCGAAGCTCAACAGAAGGCTAACAAATGTGACAGAAAACTGTGTTCAGCAGTAAGCCTCCTTTTCCGACCAGGAAAAGGGGGTTTGCACCCCTTCATCACTGTCTCTTTTGTGCATATGTACATGTGTGCAGAGATATGGATGCATGTGCATTTGAAGAACCTTACCTGTCGTCCCTCAGGTGCCGTCCACCTTGCTTTTGAGACAGATCACCAAGTAGGTTGTTTGCTGACCAGGGAGCCCCAGAGACCTGCCCGTCTCTGCCTCCCCAGTACGGCGTTAACAAGCATAGTACTGCAATAATAAGCATGGTACCACGATAACGAGCACGGTACCGCGATCACGAGCACGATACCGCCATCACGAGCACGGTACCGCGATCACGAGCACGGTACCGCGATCACGAGCACGGTACCGCGATCACGAGCACGGTACCACGATAATTAATAAGCACAGTATCGCTACTATGCTTTCTTTTTTTCCTTTTCTTTTAACATGGGTTCT